TGCCGTGCCCGCGCCCCGCCGTGCCGCGTGCCCGTGCCGCCCTCGGTGCGCGGTGAGGGCCGGCAGAACGGGGGGCCCTGACCGCGTTGCCTCCTGCCCGTGAGCTGCGTTCTGCCTTTCTGCACAGCTGCAGCCTGCCGCAGGCTGCTGCCGTGTGTCGGGGAAGCGTGGCGCGATGAGGCAGCTGATCTCGAAATGCCAAATAGCCGCTGAACTCACAGCCCTGATGAGCAGGCTGAACCCACCGAGCAGCAATTTCCTAGTGCATGTATATGGTTAATCTCCCATAGGTTTCAGTCTGGTAGAAAATGTAGTGGTGTGACTGAGATGTTAATTAGAGATGCATCTGCTTATGTGTAGAGTGTCAGTAATGGAAATGTAGCTTTCACGTCGTAGTTACTGAGTTTTACGTGTTTTGCTGCTATGTGGAACAAGGTCAGCATTTCTGTAGTGGTTCCTGAGAGGTTATTGCTTGTGAAACACCGGATCAATGGCTGAAGCTATTGGTGATGATGAAAGGGCCGGGCTAGCATTTTATTGAACGTGCTGTTTATGAAAAATGGAAGTATGTGTTTCAATTACTTAATCAATAGCACATTAAACTGTTTATCATTAATGAGATTAAAGAACATAGTTTTAGAGCTATATGTTCCTCTACTGTCTCATCTACTTTAAATTCCTTGTCTCAGAAAGCACAGGATAATTTAAAAAAAGGGGGTGGGGTGGGGAAAGCTGGTCTGTAGCTACCTTTACTTTCTGGGCACCAGCGGGTTCCCTTTTGCTATATCATTAAGCAACGTTAATATGAAACAGTGAACGTGAAGAAAAAGCACTCACGCTAAGCTCGCCTCAAAAAGGAACGTGCCCCTGTCTTATAGGACCAAACGAATGCGTTTCTTCAATTCAAAGTCCGCAGCTCTCGCTCTTTATCACAAGGTGGAAAAAAAGTTATTGCTTTAGGAAGTGAATTGCTACTGCCTTTGTTTCTGAGGAAAACTTCTGCGAAAGCTTTAGTCCTTGAATTTGTAGTTCTAAAAGCTTCGTGCCCCTTTGTCACTTGCTTGTCTTGTGGAAAAGTGTATTCCACAGCAAAACAGAGGTGCCTTCTTCATTCAGTAAAAAAGACTGTTTTCTGGTGAGGGCGGGTCTTGGTAACGGTCGTCTCTTTCCCAGTGAGCTTTGGCTGTGTTTGAGGTCATCCCTGTCCTGCCCGCAGGCCTCCCAGGAGGAGCTGAAAGGCGCCTACCGCCGGCTGTGCATGCTCTACCACCCCGACAAGCACAGAGACCCCGAGCTCAAAGCGCAGGCCGAGCGGCTCTTCAACCTCGTGCACCAAGCGTATGAGGGTGAGCACAGAAACTCTCAGGAACGGGTGTTGTGGGGTGTTAGCGTAAAATTGGGTGGATCTGTAGAGCCAAGCTTCATGTTTCCAGGGCTGTGCTTGAATTGCAAGTAACGCTAATGGGTTGGCATGAAGTTTGAGAAGACCAAGAACTGAATTCTCTCCTCTCTTTTGATTTTAATTTGTAGTGCTCAGTGATCCACAGACCAGGGCCATTTATGACATATACGGGAGAAGAGGACTGGAAATGGAAGGTTGGGAGGTGAGAGAAACCTTGTAGTCTATGGAATGGATTAAATCCACCTTTATCTGAAATTCCTGTTGTTGTGCCAAACTGCAGTGACCCCTGCAGTAACATCCTCTTTGTGATAATGTTTAGTTTCCAATTTATTTTTGAGTAGGTTGTGGAAAGGAAGAGAACTCCAGCTGAAATCAGAGAAGAATTTGAGCGTTTGCAGAGAGAGAGGGAAGAGAGACGACTGCAGCAGCGAACTAATCCAAAGGTAAGGAGAGACTTCATCCCCATCCCCAATGGGAATCCTTGAAGTGTTAAGAATACAAGATGTTGTGAGATAAAGGTAAATGAGGTACTATAATAAATAATCCCTCAGGCATCCATTCCTGAATAAGATATTTGTGTGAAAAATACGAGGAAAAATAGCTAATTCTTTGAACAGTAGTCCTCTATAGAATATGCAGCTTCTTCATTCTGTTGAAACATGTGGAAACAAACAAACAAACAGAGAAGAACAGTTTTAGGCAGCATTAAGAACACATTCCGAATGTGGAATCTTTTATGAACCCCTTTAAATATTCCAAATAACAAGACTACAGATCTTCCCTTCTGCGCTGCAGTATTGACACAGTAATGCCATGTTTGAATATAAATTCCTCACACCAACCAAAAAGACGAAACAGATACTGGACCACTGAGGAGCAAGTCTTGTGGCTGGAGCACAAAGAGCAAA